CACCTGCTCCTCATTGCCCCTGGTCCTGTATAGCCACACCTGCTCCTCATTGCCCCTGGTCCTGTATAGCCACACCTGCTCCTTGTTAGTAATGGTGTTCAGTGCCTTTGTCCTGCCCTTGAGTCAGTTATTGTGTTAATTAATGTGCTTATGCTACTGTGTGTTGTATTCTGCCTACCTGCCTAGTCCTGTTCCTGTGTTTCCCTAGTTCCTGTAGCTGGTGTATGTATGGTTCTGTTAGTTCTGTATGTAATGCCCTATTTAGTTCTGACCCCTTGTGGTCTTTTTGCTTTGTATTTTACCCCAGTCTAATAAAGCCCATTTTGAGCTGGAGCCCCTAGTGAATTATCAGCTTTTTTCCCACCTACGCCACGCTGCACCACAACAGAGCCTGAGAAAATATCCAGTGTAAAAGAATTTTCTGTTATTATTACCATGAGGTGCGTCGAGTCCACGTTGACTCTTGGCAACGATATAGAAAATTTACCTGTGGAAAGTTTGGTCTTCTGATTGTCTGAAACATTTAGAAGATGTGTATCTTTTAAATACAGTGATCATTAGAGTAAAAAACAGTCCTGGTTTGTCATCCCTAATCTGCCATCTACAGACATTAGTTAGTTCAAATTTTTGCAGCCAGGAGGCCGAGAGAACCAGAGCTGTGAGGATCTTCAGGCCTGTTTTGGGAGGAGTTCCTGCAAAGGAAGGATACAGTCCCAGGGTGGGGGGAAATAAATAACACTGTTAGTGTGTCTAAATCACCCATAGTGTGTGTGCGCTGTGAAGGACCACCAGTGTGTCTCCTACCCAGGGCCAGCTATCCATAAGGCAAGGGTAGGCAGTCGGAAAATAGGGCCACCATGAAAACAGGATTTACAGGAGTGACATTTACAGATAATATGATCATTTAAAGGAGAGTGATGCTTTATGGATCCCTGTGGGGAAATTCCCTTGTTGCCATTAGGCACACAGAGACAGGAGCATGCGAAGGGCAGCCGCCAGTGGCATCCTGCACAGCTGGGAGTTAAGAACCTCACAGCCATCTGGTACCTATGTCGGGCTGGCCTCAAACTGGCAACCTTCTGATCCCAGGCTCATCATAGACAAAGTTGCCCCTCCCTTCCTGGCTGTAATGGGCTATTCCTACTTTGAAACTCCCCAGCTTTCGTTTCACACTGGATTCTGATGGAAGGCTACTGGTTCTTTCACTGCCAACCGAACACACGAGATACAAGACTAACATTGCTTGTCCCATGAAGAGAACACAATTAAACGAATCTATGGAAAAATTCAGGACTTACCTTAGCTTCAGGGGCAGAGTAAGGTACAGGCTATACTAAGCTACAGCCTAAGGTCATGGCAAAAGAGGGAACGGTTAAACTTCTTAAATCTGGCCGATCAAGCCGCCGGCACAATATCCCTCTCGCCCGCATCAGCAAATTTCGCCCACTGCACTCCCGCCCCTAAAATGCCCCGTAAGTTACACTATCAGAACCCCACACTTTGGCTGGAGATATATTGATTTTACATGGTTTTCAATTCCCTTCCGTTTCTCTTTCTGCTCCAAAGATGAGCTCAAATGGCCCCTATAAGGGGGCCCCCTACCCATGTCAGGCTAGGGCCCCGGGAGAAGTTAGTCCTCACTGTCCATACCCTGTGATCTGTGCTTCCTGAGTTGGGCTCGGTAGATTAGACAGCACTGCAATAGAGCCCTGATACTGCGGTTTGCTTTCTGATGAAATGCAGTGCCAGTGACCATTTGGAGGCCACTGTCTGGCTGTCTCCTGCACCCGCATATCTCACGGTTCAGACTCACCCTCCCATCTGGTGTGCTGCATCTCCTCGGGGTGCTGGTTCTGCTACGTGGCCAGCCTAGTCACCAAGGTGAGGACTTAAATGCCACGAGACAGATACGGACGCTCTCCTCAAGCGAGCTTCACTGCCATGTACTGTATACTGTATGTGCCCCGTCTCCCAAGTGATGCAGTCGCTTCTTAATCGACTGCAGTGTACAGCTGTTACAGCTGCATTTCAATAAAAATGTCTCCAAGTTTTAATTCTCATATCATGCTCATAACTAATCAGGAAAATGCACAGTACCTGACTGCTATAAATAAGTTCCCCTCCAAGAGTTTGGTTTGAGACATTTGACAGTAACTCCATCTGGAATACGAGCCTCCTGTGGTAATTTCACGCCTTTAGGCTATGTGTGGATGGCCGGATATGTGAAAAGTCAAAAACAGCATCGTTTCATATTACTTTCCACATACAATCCACATCACAAAGCAGCCAGACAGTCCTTCAGGCCCAGGAAACGGAGTTTAGTCATTGGCCAGAGAGTCATGTCTCATATCCGTGTGTGAGTTGGGAAACTGACAAGAGAACATGGACAGTATGCATTAATGAAGCAGATTCTTATTGGTTATTTTGTATAATGTACTTTTAATTACACACATTCATCTTCTAACCACCCATCCAGAGCAGGGTCACAGGGGGCTTGGAGCTCATTCCAGTCAGCACAAGGAAGAAGGCAGCCCAGGGCAGGGTGCACAGGATGTCACGCCAAGAGGCCAACACACCAAGAGGCCGTCACGCCGTGGGTACAGAATGCTACCCATCAGCTATACCCTGTTTTTATAACATCTCATCTCGACAAAGTGTGAGACGAAGGATTTTAAAAGGTGCTGTATTTATATGAATACTAAATACTAATTATGGTAATAATTACATTTTATTTTGGTTCGGTTTAGCTGCATACTATTTGAAGCACATCTAACTTTGATCATATTTAGGTTTGATTGAGTAATAAAAGCGGAAAGTGAAATAACAGAAAATATCGATGCACGGCAAAGATTGTGGTTAAGAGTTTCTGAAACCTACCAGGCATCGATAAGGCTTTTCGAAACGACTGCACGCGGGTATCGCGCGTGACATCGCGCGCATAACCCTAATTTTTATCAGATGGTTTTTATCAGATGGTTTATGAGATGCGTGTCTTCGGCACCCGCCTGTCTCTCGCTTCTGCACCTGCACCCGCCGAGCACCCAGGTATCGCTGAAAGCTGCCCCCTGCTGTTAAATGTCCATCCTTCCAAGGTGGGGACCCGCGCCGAAGCCAAAGCCCGCTAGCAGCGCGCCGGAGAGACTCGGCATTACATCTGGCTCCGCCGGCGCTGCGGCCAGACAGACAGAGCGGCGAGCGAGCAGGAGCGGGCTGCCCGTCCGTCGGGCTCCGCTGGGGATCGTGCGTTCGGAGGAGCCGCCGAAGAAGCCGCGCTCCCCGGAGAAACACCTGATGAGCGACCCTGCCCCTCCCCGCCACAATCAACGATTTTTATTCATTACTTAAATCGTTTTTGTTCATGTACGATATTCCACCAATCTGTGTTTTTTAACTAGTCATGGCAAACCGACTAAAATAAAAGCAACAGAGAGGTGAGTCTTTCTATTTTATTACTCCATAATTAATATTGAAGGAAGTTGTAATTTAATTCAAATTTCCAATGTAACAGACAGTTAACTAGGCTATATATTGTGGTTACACTTGATTTAAAAGCCAACAAATAATGTACTAGATTTCAATCTGCCCGGTTTTAATTAAGGTTTGACAGACAGACGGCCTTAAAAGTAAAAACACATGGACAAAATTAGTCTTGAATTGGAAGCATGTCAGTTTGTGAATGCTTATCTCAACAACGTTTCGCTGTCACACTGGAAAAGTACCTTAAAGAAATCCCGTTCAATATAAATTACATTTAAAGCTGTCTTATGCTTACGCGAGTAAGCAAGTCTTTATTATGGTGTTTGTATGCAACAGCAGTAGTACTAATAGCAATAATAATAATAATAAGTTATCATCATTGTTGTTGTTGTTATTATTGTTATTAGATCCTGTGTGGCACATTCTGGCTCGCGAGTTTGGATTGTGTTTTCGATATTGGGGTGCCTCGTGCCACCTGACCCGTGCTTACTGGGACAGGATCCAGTATCAGCCGCATCATGCACTGTAACCTGCAAGCGCTGATGATGGGGAAAATATATATATACACACACGCACACGCATGTGTATATACATACATACATATCAGGCGCCGATTTCTGTGTTTTGCACTTGCCAATTAAACGAATTCTACCGCATACATTGTGACGTTTTTTATAATCATAAACTTGCCGTCGATCGTGCTGAGCATGAACTTCGGGAGCCGCCTGTCATGACGCAAAGGGCGACACTTGAGGTGTCATTATGCGGGACGCACGGAGCTCGGCTGGCGCTGGGGGTCTGATGGCGCCCCGGCAAAGGTAACGGGTATGTGAATGCGCTTGATTATGATAATGACAAAGCAGCACATCCCCGTTTCTGGAATATGCCGCTTTGGTGAATCACTCAGCACGCTGAAGTAAACCTACAGTCATCGTCCCTGTGATGCTGCCACCAACAAAAATGTATTTATGTTCGCAGGTTAGATTCACTCATCGCCCACACGGGAATTGTTATGCATTCTGCATATTTACCCGTAAGCCAATGAACTATAGACAGAAATATATAAATGGATCATTCAGTAAAATATTAAACGACACATTGACCCCATCTGTTAAATAAAATGGGATTCATTGACCAATTATTATACCACGCATTCACAAACAATTTGCCACAAATCACTTAAGATTTTTCAAAGATGCTGACTTCCAGATAAATTTCCCCCTCCAATGTAAGCTTTAAAGCAGTGTATAAATGCACACTGCAGACTGCATTTGCAAAGAATATGACCGCTGCTAATAGAATTCTGTTTTGGGATTGTTGTGGGCTCGCGACAGTTTTTTTTTTTGAGCAGAAGCGAACGGTGTTTGGTCGTAGAAAACATATGGGTACACGCCGGTTTCCCTAATACTGTACGGTCTGTCCCCAAGGGCGCAGGTCTGGATTCCGCATTGGTAGGCGTCAAACCAGCTCTGAACCCCCCCGTCCCGCCAAACACGCATGACTCCCCCAACACTGGCAGGCCTATGCACACATACAAATCTACGCCCTTCTTTATTCCTGCCCATACCGTCAGTTTGCATTTGATTAGTATATTTCTGTTGGGTTTCCTGAGAAAAAGGGAAAAATTCTTGTTGAACGTTCTGTGCACATTATGCATACAGCTCTGGTTCCTAAGCAGAGAATAAGCTGTTTGCCGTTTTGGAAATGCAGTGTTTCGGGGTTGTCTGTTCATTTACATAAATTACATCGTGTGTTTTTCTGTATATTAGGTGGGTGCAGGCTAGGCTGTGTTGCAATGGCTGTGTGTATGTTTGGGTTTATTTTAGTCACGGAAACTAGTTTTCTCATAATGTTTCACCTGTACTTTGTTGTAAATATTTGAAAATAAAATCTCATTACAATAATACAAAAGAGGACAGCACAGTGGTTCGATCGGGGTTTGGGTCTCCGCTCTGGTGCCGTGTGTATGGAGTTTGCATGGTTACTGGGTTCTCACTGGGTTCTCTGGTTTCCCACCACAGTCCAAAAACATGCTGAGGTGAACTGGAGTTGCCAAATTGTCCTTAGGTGTGAATGGTGTGTGAATGAATGTGTGTGAGTGAATGGTGTGTGAGTGAATGTGTGAGTGAATGCTGTGTGAGTGAATGTGTGTGAGTGAATGCTGTGTGAGTGAATGGTGTGTGAGTGAGTGTGTGTGAGTGAATGGTGTGTGAGTGTGTCCTGCGATGGGTTGGTGCCCCATCCTGGGCTGTTACCTGCCTTAAACCGTAGCTTTCGGGATAGACTTCAGACCTCCTGTGACCCTGAACAGGCCAATCGGGTACAAAAAATGAATGGATGACATAAAAAGTACCAAGAAATGTTCAAGACAATTTAGAACTATGTTGCTCAACATAGCCATCATCTGTCTTGATAATAGCTTCATAAACATGAGGCATTCAGCTAAGAAGTTCCAGCACGAAGTCCAGCAGCACATCCCCCTAGTGCAGATGTAGCGTGACACCTCTGTAGACCGCAGTGTCACCCATGTGGAATCACCCACGGTCCCTCTCGCTTGAAGGCTAAATGGACCCTACTGCTGGTTGTGTGCACGTCTTCCCGCTTAGGATATGTAAACCTTCGGGGCTCTGACCTCCTTATGAAATCTTGTTCCTCTTTGTTGAGTTTCAGGTTGCATTCCTGATGGAATGACATGCCTGTCAAATATGCTGCGCTAGCCAAGCTAATTGACCTTTCTGTGGATTTAGTGAAGATCGACAAAACAACAAAAGAACCTATGATTTCTCCTCCATGCATGACAATAAGAAGCGTACATGCAGAGCTCACGTTCAGCTTCTCTGAATCATTGAAATACATGGTGGTCTGACGCCAGTATTTTAAACTTTGACTCATTAGTCCATAAAGCTGGCCATGTACTTCGAACAACGTCCAGACAAAACTAAATCAAACACATTGGCGAGAACAATCTGTCGTATAACTTAAAACGACGTCGCCACGCTGTTCGCTCTGTGTCACGCCGCAATCCTAAAGGGCGCAGAATATTTTCGATGCTGCAGACCTCCTACAGAGTGCAAATAAACATATTGTGGGGAAAGCGTGAGCCATTTTAATAAAAAAGGCGGCTGCTCTCTTTATTAACAGCCACTATGAGTTTTATACTAGCAGTTTGACAGACAGGGAAGCCGGCGATTTCCATGATATTCAAGGTTGCAGACTAATGAATCACATGCATTCCACAGCAGACATTATACAGTTACAACATTTACTATTCACAGGAATACACGAATACACATCTTAATTTACACCATTTAAACAGTGTGGTGCAAAGCATGCTGATAACTGCATAATTAGTCCCGCAGACCTATCCTGTGGCGTCACATTTATGTCAGCCAATCATGGACAGTGGGTGGGGTCAGAACAAACAAAAAAACTTTGCTTGGAGCATCTGCAGAGGTGGTGTGCCAGAACAGCCAACAGCCTCATGATTTCTTGTGAAATTTATGGCCAGTCTAAGTCTGATGTTCACACCTGTTAACAGATGTCTCTGTCATTTAAAGCATAACTAATTTCAAGCAGATGTATTCAAACTCACCGTGTATGTATGTTAAACTGAAATATCTGTGGCTGAATTCACCAGTTGAGAATTTTGCATTTCCTCAGAAATACAGTTTTTGTTCTGCGTGTGGCTCTGTGGGTTGAAGGTCTGTGCCCATCATTGGAGGGTTACTGGTTCGAATTCCCTGGTTGGTAGGGTGACGTGCCTGCTGGGCCCTTGGTGTCTCTGAGGGAGCACCATGCCGTACTCTCCGATTCACGCTTGTACACCACTTTGGACAAGAGTGTCTGTTAAATAAACATCATCTTGATTACGGCTGTTTACCTCCGTGATTGCATCTCGAACACTCAGCTGTTTCCTGGATTGTCAGCGCAGCGAGCGCAATGGCAGTTCATTTACTGCAGGACGGCTCATCTGACAGTCTGCTGTCTTTAAAAATCTCACAGGTGTCCTTTCTCGAGCAGAAACCATGCAGCCTGCGTTTTCAGAAGCAGGTGGGAGGGGGTGACGCTGTCTCTTTGTGGGGATGGCGAACGAGTGGCTGCGCACTGCTGGAATGTTCACTGCTCCCACTGGTCATCCAGCAGTAACGGGCAGAAGTGATGCAGTCCCGCCCAAACGAAAAGCCTCTAAACAAAGGGGAAGCCGGTATGAAGGCAACCCCTGAAGGAAAGGTGTCTGAACTGGCAGCAGTCGGGATAGATCATGATGCACCATCTCTCTCTCTCTCTCTCTGTCTCTCTCTCGCCCCCAGAGCCACTAATCGGTCTGCAGACTCTTTTGTGCTGATCTGTTTCTACAGTGTAGCTACTTCATAGCTTCTAATCTCGGGGGTTTGATTTTGAGATTAGCGATCTGCAAGCTGAATAATGAGGAGACTTCCTCATTACCAGCATGGCGAGCTGAACCATGCGACGAGGGCCTCCAGCGGAGATATGGCTATTAGGGCTGTGGCCCCAGGCTAAATTGGCATGTTTTCACACGACGGTAGTTTCAGGACACATACACCAGTCATTACACTAATGCATTTGTGGATGCTAGTCCCTTTGGAAGATCATGGAATTTAATTTGTGCAGACAGTGCAACAAAAAAAAAGGAAAGCATCAGTCAGACCCCACTGCATTTTCATGGGGTGAGTCCAGAGGCCATTTCTCACAGCTACCTTTCTGAGTTAATCAAACTCTGAAAAGTATGTGACAGATTGCTCCCTCTCATCCGCTGGATGATAGAATCATCAGATCAGGTGCCCTGGCCATTACTAGTGTAGCTCCAAATGCAGGCCAGCTCTCCTTAAAGCGAGTGGCACCCAGGTGGGGTAGGAACTGTGTGAGGCTCAGGTACAATGCAACAGCGCCACCTAGCTGTGGCATGATGCCTGCGCTCAGGATCACTGCATTT